TCATTCTCAATAGAGTGCTGTGGTATCTCAGCTCACAGCTATAGCAACCTCCATCTCCTGGGCTTAGGCAATTCTCTTGCCTCAGCCTTCCAAGTAGCTAGGACTACAGGTGTCCGCCACAAGGCCCTGCTATTTTTTTTGTTGCAGTTTGGCTGGGGCCAGGCTCGAACCCACCACCCTGGGTATATGGGGTCAGCACCCTACCCACTGAGCCACAGGCACTGCCCGAGGGCAGGGCATTTTCCTTCAAAACTTGTGAGATGCCCCACTCCACTGGCTGTGGCCTCATCTGGAGGGACGTTTCACTCCATCCTCCAGTGCTAAAGTCCCCAAGCCCCTCCTAGCCTCCATGGGCCTGGTCACTACAAAGTCCCTTCTCTAGCCACTCACACTCCCTATCTCCTATCTCTGTATATCAGCTGCACTCAGCTCTCCTCCTCATGAATTGCAATTTGGCTTCATGTGTCTTCAGAGAGAAAGTTTGTGTTTGAGATTTTCCCTTCAGCATAATAATACAAGGAAAGAAGGGAACTAAGGAGTCATGAGTCTGCTGTCCTCCCTAGGACATCTACAGAGCCCTGTCTTTGCCTTTTTAAATTAAATTGGGCCTTTGCTTTGTCTTTTTGGAGCTGGAAAATCGTGATCACCCAGTGATCCCAGTAGGATGTGCAATAGAAAGTAGGTTTCTGCCCTTCCTCAGCCTTGTTAGGTTTCTCTCACCCCTCACAGGGTCTCTCCCCCACACCTAGCAGCAGGTCCAGCCAGGCTCTGATGGAGGATGTCCCAGATACATCAAGGGGCATAGGAGCATCCAGACCTGGCTTCCTATAAATGCCGGTTGGGCTGCACTTGGTATTGTGGGCGCAGCACTCACACAGCTTTCTGCTTGGGTTTTCAGTGTCTGCAGTGGCACCACCTGTTTCAGAGAGAGCAGAGGCGCGCTCTGACTTGGCCAGAGCCCAACCTACCTGCTTGGGTATCTGCCACAGTGTCCAGGATTGAAGCTCTGGGTTCTGATTGCAGAATGTCTATTGATTGTTGGAGAGTACTCAGGTCCCCTCAGCCCTGTCCCAGCCCTTGTGGTCTGGGCATGAACCTCGTAAGTTACCACCCACAAGGGTTGGAAAAGGCAGGTTTTGGGTAGGTAACATATGTAGGTCACCTCCCTGCATCCCCAGAAACTATGTCCTCAGCTCCTCATGAGCCCAACATAGTGCTACGGACTTGGCACCAGCGTGTGACAAGTGCATGCCTCAGGAAGTTCTGGATCTCAAGGGTCCCTGTCAATTGGTGGTGGTTGAGGATGCTTCCCTGTGGCAGGGGTGTTATCACTGAGCACTGAGGGTAGGTGGAGTTCAGGTTAAGAGACAGAAAACTGGCTTACTGGCAGGAAGCACAGCATGTTCAAGGGGCTTGAGATAGGAGTGGGTGGGTTTGGTGTCAAGGAGGCGGGGAACAGGGATAGGGAACAGGTTAGGGGAACAGGGGAGCAGAGAGAGGGAAGGAGAAAAGAGTGGAGGGTCATGGTGTCATGGTGGAGTGGAGGGTCATGGTGACACACCTCTTGGAAGTGGGACACAATTATGAGAGAGACTTGACCCAGCAAATGCAATCAGTATAACTTGGTTCTCTGTACCCTCAGTGAATCCTCAACAATAAAAAAGGCAGGAGTAGCAAGAGCAGCAAGAGGGCAGGGTTGCAAGGTGAGGCTGTCAGATGGCCCTGCCAGTGTGCCACAGTCAGAGCATGTAAGGGAGTGTCCTTTTTATCTCACAGCACACTTGAACCTATAGTTAAACTTCCACAGCACACTTAAATGTTGATCTAAAAAAAAAAGTTGGAGCTCAGTGCCCATAGCACAGTGGTTATGGTCCCAGCCACATACACCAAGGCTTGCGTGTTCGAACCTGGCCCGGGCCAGCTAAAACAACAATGACAACTGCAACAAAAACTAGCCAGGCATTGTGGTGGTTGTGGTGGTTGTATATAGGTTGTGGGCACTTGTATTCCCAGATACATGGGAGGCTGAGGCAAGAGAATTGCTTAAGCCCAAGAGTTGGAGGTTGTTATGAGCTGTGATGCCATGGCACTCTACCCAGGGCGACATAATAAAACTCTATCTCAAAAAAAAATGTTGGCTCAGCACCTGTAGCACAGTGGTTGTGGCGCCAGCCACATACACTGAGGGTGGCAGGTTGGAACCCAGCCCAGGCCAGCTAAACAACAATGACATCTGCAATAAAAAATAGCCAGGCGTTGCTCAGCACCTGTGGCTCAAGCAGCTAAGGCACCAACCACATACACCTGAGCTGGTGGGTTCAAATCCAGCCTGGGCCTGCCAAACAGGAATGATGGCTGCAACCAAAAAATAGCTAGGTGTTGTGGTCGGTGCCTGTAGTCCCAGCTACTTGGGAGGCGGAGGCAGGAGAATCACTTGAGCCCAGGAGTTGGAGGTTACTGTGAGCTGTGATGCCAAGGCACTCTACCCAGGGCAACAGCTTGAGGCTCTGGCTCAAAAAATAAATAAATAAATAAATAGCCAGGCATTGTGGCAGGCGCCTGTAGTCCCAGCTACTTGGGAGGCTGAGGCAGGAGAATCACTTGAGCTCAAGAGTTGAAGGTTGCTGTGAACTGTGACACCACAGCACTTTACTGTCTATTGAGGGCAACATAGTGAGATTCTGTCTCAAAAAAATAAATATAATCTTTAAAAGTTTTCATGGTACACCTAAGAACCTTTCACCGTATACCAGTGTACCATGGCACATCGATTCAAAATCACTGACATAGTGTCAGGTGGGGTCTCTGGCCTCAGCAGCATCTAGATCAGCCTTAGAGAGGGCAGCGGAGGCCCAGAGAGGGTGAGCCATGTTCCTGTTGTAACACAGCTGGGTCTGGATTTTGCTGAATAAACCCTCCTGCCCCCACACCCCCCAGTTTGGTTCAGGCTGGTAGTGACATACTCGTCCACCCCAGCTCTTGGCTGCATTAAAAAGGGTCAGCCAGGCTGGGGGTGACTTAAAACCAGAGAAGACCTATGGGTGGAGTAGAGGCCTAGATAGGGGTAAGGAGCAGCTGAGTGAAGTGGAGAAACTCAAGACCAGGATCCCCTGTCCCCGCGCTAAGCAGCCCCTGTCTGTCCCACTGCAGGTGAGCGCCGCGAGGGGGTCAATGCCTCGGTAAGCTCAGACGTGCAATCGGTCTTCAAGGGGAAGACGTATAGCCAGCTGCAAGTCATCTTCCAGGGTATCGAGGGCAAGATCCGGGTTGGTGGCCCCAACCTGGACATGGGATACTGGGAAAGCCTGCTGCAGCAGCTTCGTGCCCACATGGCCAGAGCCAGGTGAGAAGGCCTCACAGAGTTTATCCCTCAAGACCTTGCCTAGGGACAGGGAGCTGTATATTCCACCAGGGTCTGGGCAGGAAGGTCCCCTAAGATGCTACAGCGCCCCCCAGCTGGAGTCCTGAGCACCTAACTGGCTCCATCAGCACCCACCCTTGTTTCCCTGGGGTTGTCATACATTGCAGGAAATCCTGTGTCCTATCTAGGCCACCTTCCACTATAGGCCAGGCACCCTCCCAGCCTCTGTGTACAGATTCTCAGCATACTTGGCATCACTGGGTAAACACAGTGTCTCTAGCTTATTTGTAACTCACATTACTCTGTAATTGCCTCTGAATTTATCATCTTCCTCTCCAACTCTCCTTCCAGGGCCCCTTCTACTGACTAGACCTAGTCTTGGCCATTTGGGCCTTATCCAGTGTGCATCCCTTGGGACACGGACCTGCCCCTTCCCTGTCACGGGATGGTTCTCCAGGGTCCCTTAGTCACATTGTCCTTGTGGCCAAAAGCTTGATCCTGGACTGGCAGGACCTGAGCAAGGGTCCTGGTTGAAAGAGTAGCCATCCTCCTGGCCTCCAGGGTCCTTGTAGCAAAATGGAGCTTGAGAATGTTAGTGGGGGGTAGGGGCGCAGAGCCTTTTGCCCCCAAGGGGGAGGATAACTGAGCCTTTCATCCCAGGCTCCGTGAGCGCCACCAGGATGTGCTGCGGCAGAAGCTGTACAAGCTGAAACAGGAGCAGGGTGTGGAGAGTGAGCCACTGTTCCCCATCCTGAAGCAGGAGCCACAGTCCCCCAGCCCCAGGTAAGCTGCAGGGTTCAGCTGCTGTCTTCTCTATCCTTCAGACCCTGACCCTCCCTACCCTGACCCTCTTGACCTTTCCCTTCTCTAGCCTGGGAGCCGAGGATGTAGCCCCTACCTCACAGGGGCCCTCAGAGGGAGGCCCCGTGGAGCCCGAAGCAGATGAGGCGGCACCAGTAGAGGGCGAGGGTGAAGGTGAGGGTGAGGCAGTGCTCATGGAAGAGGACCTGATCCAGCAGAGCCTGGATGACTATGACGCTGGAAAGTACAGCCCACGGCTGCTCACAGCGCATGAGCTACCCCTGGATGCACATGTGCTGGAGCCTGACGAGGACCTGCAACGCCTGCAGCTGTCACGCCAGCAGCTCCAGGTCACAGGTACGGTGGCAGGGACCAGAGAGCAGGGGCACAGCTCTTAGGTGTCCAAGAGCAACACCATTCCCCCTCAGCTAAAATCTTTGGGTTGGTGGTAAACTTGTTCACATTTCTCCTTTCCTCTCATTGGGTCTCTAAGTACCCATTCATTCACCCATTTATTCTTTGATTGGCTCATTCACTTCTGGGCTTGCTGACTGGCTTTGCACACACCAGGGATTGAGGTTTTTATTAGCACCTGTCAGGGCATTCCCTGTGCTGCTATCATCCCAGAACAGAGGACAAGCTAGGTCTGAGAAAGGGCCCTGCCCAGGCTCCCCTAGGGAGTCATATATGGAGCTGGTCATAGTAGCCAGGCTATACCCTGCAATAAAAAATAGCCAGGCATTGGCTCAGCACCTGTGGCTCAAGCAGCTAAGGCGCCAGCCACATACACCTGAGCTGGTGGGTTCAAATCTAGCCTGGGCCTGCCAAACAACAATGACGGCTGCAACCAAAAAATAGCTGGGTGTTGTGGTAAACTGGGTTTACCTAGCTTTCCTGCCACTATGTGGTGTCCACTCAGGAGGGTGATGAACACAAATGACCAAGGACCAGGGGCCCAGAGAGAATGGTGTGCCTCTCAGAGCCTGAGGCCTGTCCTGTGTGCCTTCTCCCACCTGGGCTTCAGTTCTCCTTCTAGGAGGCACTAACAGAATCCCCTGTCAGAAGTCTGGGGGGGAGGCTTAGGACTGGGAAGAAATCTGAGGCCCTGGGTCAAATCATGTCCTGCCTGCAGGTGATGCCAGTGAGAGTGCAGAGGACATCTTCTTCCGGCGTGCCAAGGAGGGCATGGGCCAGGACGAGGCGCAGTTCAGCGTGGAGATGCCACTGACGGGCAAGGCCTACCTGTGGGCCGACAAGTACCGGCCCCGCAAGCCGCGCTTCTTCAACCGCGTGCACACGGGCTTTGAGTGGAACAAGTACAACCAGACGCACTACGATTTTGATAATCCCCCACCCAAGATTGTGCAGGGCTACAAGTTCAACATCTTTTACCCTGACCTCATTGACAAGCGCTCCACGCCAGAATACTTCCTGGAGACCTGCGCAGACAACAAGGACTTCGCTATTCTCCGCTTTCATGCCGGGCCACCCTATGAGGATATCGCCTTCAAGATTGTCAACCGCGAGTGGGAGTACTCTCACCGCCATGGCTTCCGCTGCCAGTTTGCCAATGGCATCTTCCAGCTCTGGTTCCACTTCAAGCGCTACCGCTACCGGCGGTAACAGTTGCTGGGGAACAATGGTACCTTCAGGGGACAATGGACAGGTGTCCTTGGAAATGTAAATAAAGGGGGCTTGGTGAAGCTGGCAGGCACTCCAGAGCCACCATCTGCCCTGCAGAGTCATGCCTGCCATGTTTAAAAGCCACATCCCACCTCAGATGACCTTCCCCTCACCTGGCCTCAGTTTCCCCCATGTGAAATGGGGATCACTGTAGAACCTGCCTCAGAGAGTTGAGGGCTGCTGGGACAGGCTGGCCCAAGGGCCTCACATGTCAGGGGCTGCTAGTGACATCTTCAGAGCCCTCTCTGTCTGGGTGGGCATCTGGGGCCCAAGACCCACTGTGCCACCCTCAGAGTCTAAGGAGGAAGCCAGACCCCGGCCTCTCAAACTGCATCTGATCCCTGCATGTGCCTGCCCCAAGTCCCACCTCTGATAACTTCACAGAGCATTGGTTGGCCCTCAGACAGTGGCTACTAGTCCAGCAGTGCCAGGGCCCACCCCCTCAGGCCATACCTGCTCAGGAGCCCCCAACAGCAGGAACTGGACCCTTCCTGTATGTTCCAGAAGAGACTGGGAATATCCAAGCTCTATAGCAACTGAGCCCCCCACAGCTCTTCCTGGTGCTGGTGGTTGGGTCAGTCTCCCCTGTCCAGGTTGGTGTAAAGGATGTATAATCGTCCACCATCAGGGTCCTCATCTTCTGTCAGGTCATGAGAACCAAGGTTTACTGAGCACAGGCCCTGGAGGGCCGCTGGTGGGGGCTTCTCTCATATATCTCCCCATCCAGTCTGTGCCAGGGCCTTGGGGCATGTCACCCACATCAGGACAGTTCCTCCCAGCCTCCCTGGGGCCACCCTCCTTGACACCTTTCCTCAGGTAGGGGAGGCTAAGGACCACATGTCTACCCATAACACTAGTCCTCATCAAGATGGCAGGCAGGCTTATTTCTTTGGACCATTTGATGACAGACACCCCAAACCTAAACATGATGGAAAGAGTTCTCCAGGTTACGCAGAAGTGCTACCTCCCAGCACCACCAGTACCAACCCCCAGGCAACCAGCAGCCCACCCAGGCACCCTGTCTTGTCTGGAAACAGTTTCTTTAAAAAGACTTTTAGGTGGGGAGGGGGGGAAATCTTTAATTCTCAGTGAATTGGTCCACTTGTGAGGTTGCATGCTTTTTTAATAAATGTTATATTTTAGAATAATTTTAGATTTACGGAAATTCTACATAGTGCGGAATCTCTGCTGCCCATGGCCTGCCACCTGCATCCTGCATAACATGGTACATTTGTTAAAGTGGAGGGACTGACACAACCAAGAAGACTTTTGAAAAATATCAGAGCACCCAAAATTAGATCATAGCAATCCCTTAAGGAGCCTTGTTTAGTCCCTGGGTCCCCTCTCTGATCCGGCTGCCTCACTCCTGGGAAGGAGGAACCACCCACTGTCCAGACATGAAGGTGGTTAACCAAGCTGCTTACCTGGGCCTAGGCTCTCATGGGGACAAGGCCTGGCCATGTTTGGGTATATCAGTGGTCATCATGACTGAGGAATACAACAGGCACAAAGGGAGTGAGGGCCAGGGATGCTGTTCAACACCCTGAAGTCCATAAAGAATGTCCACAATGCTGGCTCAGTGAGTTAGGGCACCGGCCCCATAAACCAAGGGTGGTGGGTTCAAACCCAGCCCCAGCCAAACTGCAAGAAAAAAAAATAGCTGGGCGTTCTGGCGGGCACCTATAGTCCTAGCTACTCAGGATGCTGAGGCAAGGGAATCGCCTAAGCCCAAGAGCTGGAGGTTGCTATGAGCTGTGACGTTATGGCACTCTACCAAGAGTGACAAAGTGAGACTGTCTCTTAAAAAAATAAATAGAATGTCCACAATGCCAAGGCTGAGTGACTGCAGCAGACAGCTGGGAGTCAGCCTGTATGCTCTCCCAGGCCACCAGTCACCTCCCAGCCTTGACTTACAACGGTATCCCAGAGCCTTTGGTAGGGCTTGGGGACTATAGCAGGGAGTGCATCTGATCAAGGGTTCCCTGCCCCATGTCCAGACCTTGGCGTACCCTGACCAGCATGCTCCAGAATACAGATTACCCTCCATAGCACACAGCACTTCCATTCCTTTCCCACCCCTTGGCAGACAGCACTAATTTCAGATCCCCAGAGCAGCCTTAGCATCCTTTGGCAGCTTCTACCAGTTGAACCTAACCTGCTTCACCCATCTAATCTAGGACTAGAACCTAGGTTTCTTCCTCTTGCCACACTACCATCCATGCTCCAGCCTCAATTTCCCACCTGCCCCTGCAGAGGTTCTCAGCTCCAGTGTGCTGGTTCCCTGTGCATTCCAGCAGGGCATCAACTCCAAGGGAGGTGGTTGCTCAGGGCAGGAGGAAAAGATGGATGTCCCCCCAACTTGCGCACGTATTTAGTCAGGAGCCCCCAGTCTGGAGGGAGGCAGAGCTGGGGCAGGGTAGGCAATGGGTCTGGTGGGGTGGGGGGGGAGACCAACAAGGGATACTGAGAGCTTTCTTGGCAGAGGAAAGGCTATTGGGCTGAGAAGGAGCAGGGTGAGGCTGCCTTGCAGAGGATGGGGTAGCAGGTATGCTCAGGAGAAGGGCACTGGAGAGCCACGGGAGGGTGAATGAGCCAGGCAAGGCCACAGAGCCGGGTGTCAGGGAGAAGCCTTATGAAGATAGGAAGTAGGGGCCAGGGGTAGGCACTGCATCTGTGCAGCCACCCTGTGACCCCCCACCCTGACCTGAGGTCTCCCATGTGTCCCGGAAGCTGCCTCCAGCCCTCACCCACCCCAGCTTCTTCCTGCCCTTGAGTGTGTTCAAATCTAAGAATAGAAACTCCCTGCCTGGCCCCCACCGGAAACCACAGCCACAGGGGGCACATCCTGAGCCCAGCCTCTGCTCCTCACATCTGGCCCACCCCCTCAGCCCCTCACAACTACTCCTATGCAAGCCTCCTGTGTGCCATTGAAGCCATTGAACCAGGGTGGGGAGAAGGGATGGATGGGGTAATGTGGGCAGGTAAAAGTTGAACATCTCTAGCCACCAACCCCAGAGGTGGTAGAAGCCCAGAGCACATGTTCAAGCCTTACACACGGGCTTGGCATCCTCCTCCCTCTGGGCCTCAGTTTCCCTGTCTATATACCGTGAATGTCTTCACTCCCTACCTCACAGAGACATAATGAGGCTCAGGCTAAAAGGCAAGTGAAATGTTCTTCTCTGACCCCTGCTCAGGCTGTTTCCCAGAAGGAAATGTTGTCTTTGTTATCTTAGGGCTGGGGACAGAGGAAGTGGGAACAGAACAGCCTTCCTCCAGCCTCCATCTCTCGCTCCCACCCCCATCTGGAGCCCCAGCCCGACATCCTCTTCCCACCACATTTGCCCTCTGTGTAATTAGTTTTCAGCAAGGCCTTGTGCTCTGTCTGGCCTCCAAAGTTTTGCATGTGCAATTTCTGCCATTGCCATGTAGCCCAGACCTGGAGAACTCCTACTCATTCCACGAAGCCCTAATTCCCACATCCTTTCCATCCAGGATGCCTTCCCAGCTCATTTCTGGGCTCCCCTAGGCCCTGTCACTTCTTTGGCCCAACCTCAACCCCAGGGAGTTGGAACAGTTGGTGCCTAGCTGCTTCTCCAGCAGAGAATCTCAAGGACAGGCCTGATTTGAAGTCTCACCTGGGACTCAGAATTGTCCCACCGCAAGAGCCATGACACAGAGGAGTTGGAGGGAGTAAGATTAGGAGATCAAGAAGGCCTAGATCGGCTCAGCGCCTGTGGCTCAACCGGCTAAGGCGCCAGCCACGTACACCTAAGGTGGCGGGTTCGAATCCCCAGCCCGGACCCGCCAAACGACAATGACGGCTGCAACCAAAAAAAAAATAGCCGGGCGTTGTGGCGGGCGCCTGTGGTCCCAGCTACTTGGGAGGCAGAGGCAGGAGACTCGCTTGAGCCCAGGAGTTGGAGGTTGCTGTGAGCTGTAATGCCATGGCACTCTACCCAGGGGGACAGCTTGAGGCTCTGTCTCAAAAAAAAAAAAAGAAGGCCTAGATCAAGAAGAAAGGGGCTTTGGAGCCTGAGGTTTGCCAGGTGCATAGGAGTTGGGCAGCCTCCTTGCCAAGAAGAGAGAAGTTAGGGTTAAACAGCCCAGAGACTCAGACAATGGGATGAAACAGGGAGGGGCCTACCTTAGGGATGCAGGGTGGGAGCAAAGGCCTGGAAGGATGGTGGGCGGGGTAGTCCGGAAGGGGCTTCCGGACACTATAAGGGGAGAGCAGGGCCAGGGCAAGAACCCATCCCCCAGGCCCAGGGGACTAGGTGGAGTGAGCCAAGGCCAAGCCAGACTGTCCTGTCCCACTCCAGGCCCTAACTTAAGGTATTGCCTGGCTTGTGTGTTTGAACTGAAGCCAAAGAGGCTGAAGGCCATCCCTCCATAAAGAAGCCCATATGGCCTGTGGCCTGTCCCAAGTCCTGAGTTCAGCTCCTAGGACTCACTTTCTGAATCATTCCTGCACTGACAGGCTCCATCCATTTCCCCCCACCCCCCAGGCCACCCTGCTCTGGACAGTCCCTCCTCTGTCCCTTAGTCCTCACAATACCCTTCCCCCTGCAAAACTATCCCCATCACCTCCAGGCTCACCTGAAAGCTCCTCACAAGACAAGACCCTCCCCTGCAAAACTACACCCATCCCCTCCAGGCTCACCTGAAAGCTCTCCCAGAAAGCTGCCTCAGGCTGGGCACCCATAGTGCAGTGGTTAGGGTACTGGCCACATGCTCCAGGGCTGGTGGGTTCCAACCCAGCCTGGGCCTGCTAAAAAAAAAAAAATAGCCAGGTGTTGTGGCAGGCGCCTGTAGTCCCAGCTACTAGGGAGGCTGAGGCAAAAGAATCGTTTGAGCCCAAGAGTTTGAGGTTGTTGTGAGCTATGACGCCAAGGTACTCTTCCCAGGGTGACAAAGTGAGACTGTCTCAATTTAAAAAAAGAAAAGCTTCCTCAGCTAGGTGGCCTTGAAGACTGGTAGAAGGTCTGAAGCCTCCCACACCCCTGTGCTCCCACCCATTCCCTGGCAGGAGCGTCAAACAGATCACATACCCATATGGTTATTAAGCACCTACTGTGTGCCTGGCTCGGCCCCACCGGTTAACTAGCTTGGGGCCCTAGGCCTCTGCGTCAAGTCGGGAGCTGATCCGCCCAGACCGCCCGCCCCCTCCCGGGCTTCAGGCGCTGCCCAGACGGTGAATAATGCGCGGCCTGGCAGCAGGAGTGCTGGGAAGAGGCCTGAAAGGGGTGGCTGGGCGAGTGGAGGGGCCGAGGCTCCCGCAGGGGCGCCCCTACCATCCCACCCCAGGACACCCACCACAACCCTGGCCCTCTGGTCCCACAAAGGCTCCCCCCCACCAAGGAGGCCGGGGGGTGTTACCGGCCGCTGTTGGCGACCCCTGACCCAAATCAGCCAGACCCACGCCTGGGGGGTGTGGCCGGCGCCGGGGGGCGGGGCTGATGAGAGAAGTACGGACCGAGAGACAGAGACTGAGATCTGGAGAGACAGAGCGGCGCTGCCGAGCGGGGTCCCCACCCCGGGCGAGGTCGAGGCCTCTCAGACCTCTCCAGGCCGGGTCCCTGCGCCTTTGGGGCGTCCTCAGCCGCCACGCCCTCTATCCAGACCCCGCGCCGACGTGGCGGTGCCGGGTTCCTCTGACAGGCGGGTGCCCCAGCAGTAACTCCGTTTCCCTGGGGGAAATCCCCTGAGAGCCCAGCCCGACCTTCCACGCCTTCCACCTTCTTCACTTCTGAGACTGCAGCGCTGAGACACCCCCCCCCCTCGATGGATCCATCTAGGTGAGGTCCGCTTAAGTGAGGTCTGCCCAGATTGGGTCGCCCAGGTGGGGTCCACCCTTGTGTAGGCTGCGCCTCGCGGGGGCGGCAGTGCTGGAAGCCCTGGTGTGCATGTGAGCCCGCGTAGCTGACCCTGCCCTGCTGTGGGTGTGTCTGCGTGCTCAGTGATCCCAACCAGGTGCTAGGTGTCCCCTGCCTGTGTTCCTGCAGCCTGCATTGGGGACCTATGCAGTTAGGTCTGAGTGTGGCCCAGGCTAACCTGTGCATTCAAGGTCTCTGGGTCCATGTGGGGTCATTCAGCTGTGAAAGGCATTTTGAGACTCTGGCCACAGCAGGGGAGTGGGGCCAAGCACTGGGTGTGGCTGGGAGCAAGTGTGTCCCTGCAGCCATGTGTCTGTGAGTGTGCCTCATTCTATCTCTGTGAATGTGTATGTGTGCAGGTCTAGCGGGTTGTGTGTCTGTTTGTGTGTGTGTCAGTCTGTATCTGTGTGTTTCTGCCTGACTCTGTGTTTGCTGCTTTGTGTTTATGTGTGTGTCCATCTGTGTCTGCATGGTCTATGTGTATCTATTGTGTTTCTGCCTATGTGTCTGTGTATCTTTCTTCTTGAATGTCTGTCTGTTGTATTTCTGCTGTGTGTGTTAGTACGTCTGCATGTCTGACTTTCTATTTCTGTCTCTATGTCAACCCACGTGCACCTGTGTGTATGTGTGTGCACCCACACAGAGGTTGCTGGTGGAATCACTATGACTTTTGTGTCCAGCACAAGAGTTGTGATTGCTCTGACATAGACTTCTGATCTGTATAGATGAAGGAACAGAGGTTCAGAGGGGGCCACATGAGTTGGAACCAACTCTAGCCAGCTTTGGATCTCCCAACCTGCACCCTCCTTGCAGGGGCCTTACAAGTATCACAAACAGGAAGGTGGGTGGCAACGGTTTCTCTGCACATAAGGGCGTGTCAAGTATATGCACACATCAAGTGTGTGCAGAGGGTCTATACCTGCAGCTGTTTGGGTGTGGGGGTTGGCATCAGGTGGGGGGAGAGGTCCTGGCCCAGACGGTAGCCTGGTCCCTACAGTGTCAGGCCTAAAGACACCATCAGTGGGCCAGGCTGCAGTCAGAGACAGGCTAGACTCACAGCAAGCATCAGAACTCCCATGTGGCTGTCCTGTGCACCTTGATAGGAGACCTGTTGTGGATACCTACAGCCAGGAATGAGAAGGGAACACCCAGGCACTGCAGAGGCAGAGCCTCCCCAGGCAGACTTGGGCTGAGCACCCAGAATGACAGCAGGCTCATGGGTGCCATTCGGATGCACATTTCACAGAGAGGGGAGACCCAGGCTGGATGAGGTCAAGCCCCCAACTTGGAAGGGTCAAATTGAGGATTGGAGAGTCCAGGCTCATCTGAGTCCATTGTTGGCACTGGGTGTGTATTGGGGGGAGATGCTGGGCAGGCCCAGGCTATGGAGACAGCCAGGTCCAGGGGTGGGGTGCTGAGTGGGAGAAGAATATGTGAAGAGATGGCTGGACCTGGGGTGGGGTATCACCCCCTGGAGGAGAGGCCTGCTTGGGAACCAAAGAGCACATTCCAAGCACACTGGGCATGGCAGCAGCCCAGCCTGGTGGGTGCATCTGGCCCAGCACCAGGGCCTCTGGGAACAGCAGTGCACAGAGCTTTAATAATCCCACACCTCACACAGCAGGCCCAGGCCACTCATGGTCAGTGCTGGGATGCAAAAGAACTCACTCTCAGTATCCACCCTCCAGAAAGAAGCAGGGAGCTAAAACAGAGATTTCTGGAACCCAGAACTCAGCCACATTCCTAGCCAAATTCCAGAACCTCATCGACTTGGAATTCTAGATTTTTCTTTCTTTCTTTCTTTCTTTTTTTTTTTTTTTTTTTTTAGACAGAGTCTCACTCTGTCATGCTGGGTATAGGGCCATGGTTTTAGCCTAGCTCACAGCAACCTCAGACTCCTGGGCTCAAGTGATCCTCCTGCTTCAGCTTCCTGAGTAGCTGAGATTACAGGTGCCTGCTACAACGGCTAGCTAGTTTTTCTATTTTAAGTAGAGACAGTGTCTAACTCTTGTTCTGGCTGGTCTTGAACTTCTGAGTTCAAGCAGTCCTCCTGCCTTGGCCTCCCAGAGTGCTAGGATTACAGGTGTTAGTCACCATGCACAGCCTAATTTCTCATTTTTTGTACAGACAGCTTCTTGATATGTGGCCCAGTTGGTCTTGAACTCCTGGCCTTAAGTCATCCTCCCACCTCAGCTTACTAAAGTGCTGAGATTACAGGCATGAGCTACCAGGCCCAGCAAATTCTAGAACCTTGAGACTTTCCGGATTCCAGAACTGGGGGCTCATTAGAATTCCAGAACCCTGGACCATCAAAGTGCAAACCTTCCCCACTCTCAGCCTGCCTGATTCTGGGTTTATTCAGCTTTAACAAAATAAACCCATCCCATGTGGCACAGAGAAGGGGATCGATTTCCCCAGGGGCCACAAACCACTGCTTCTGGTCCTTCCTTGGTGGGGACCCTGCCAACATCCTGTCCAACCAGAGAGGAGACAGGAGGCTGTGCTAGGTTCCCCTATGGGCCTCCTTGTCTTGGAAACTAGAAACAACCACTATCACCTGAACCCCAAGGTGGGGAGCAGTGCGTGGGCCTGGAAACTGCTGGCTATGGCCAAAGAGACTTGGTTCTAGTTTTAGCCTCCCTGGGGCCAAGATCTCTGAGTCACAGGTTTGTTCCCAGAGGTGTAAGAGAGTTGTGGGTGTGTGTCCCTGAGTGAGCAGAGCTCTCACATGAGGGTGGAGGACAAAGGGAACTTATGGCAATCACTCCAGACAAGCTGGAGCTGGGGCAGTGACCGCAGGCACAGCCCAAGTTCCCAGGAATGTTAGTAACAGTGCATACCCACTCTCAAGGGATTCCACTCTCTTCTCAAAGAAAAATCATATGAAGGCTGTTACCACAGCACCCTAGCCTGGGCAACAGAGTGAGATGCTGTCTGAAGGAAGGGAAGGGAGAAAATTCTTCTCTTCTCAAAGAAAAATCAAATGATTCCTACTACTCTTCCCTGGCAGGCTTTAGAAAAAGCATTTAGTCACATTTCTATGTGAGGAGGCTGGGGTTTAAATCTCAGATCCACTCCAGCTGGGCTTCATGGCCTTGGACAAATTGCTTAACCTCTTTGTGCCTCAGTTTTCCCTCTCTGCAAAATGCAGATCACAATCGGACCTTTATGATCTTTAACTGCCTGATACCTCTATATGGCAGAATCCCACCCTGATCCCACCAACTGCTGCCTTCCCTCCCTGCCCAGGGATGTCTTGGGGATGCACACAGGGCAGGAGGCAGGAGACCTGGGTTTTAGCCCTGGCCCCCTGGGTGACTTTAGATAAGTCACTGCCTCTCTCCAGACTATGACATTCCCACAGTGTGTCCTTCTGGGGAAATGGGGGCTGGGTTTTGAACAGTCTTGTTTTATTTCACTTTACTTTCATCACATCTGGCAGTTGGGTCCAGCTGTCTTTCTGGTTTTGTCCCCCAACTCCACACTGGAGAATAGGTCCCTCCTAGTATCCTTTACAACCTGTCCCTAGGGAAACTGTCATTCCAAATGTGCTGAGTTTTTTTGATTCCCAAAATGGAACTGGATTGCAGTTTATTTCTTATTATAAAAGCAAACTCCATGAACTTGGAAAAAAAGGAATCCAAGGGCTGGGCACAGTGGCTCACGCCTGTAATCCCAGCACTTGGGAGGCTGAGGTGGGTGGGTCTCCTGAGCTCAAGTTTGAAACTAGCCTGAGCTAGAGTGAGATCCCCATTTCTAAAAATGGCAGGGCATTGTAGTGGGCACCTGTAGTCACAGCCACTTAGGAGGCTGAGGCAAGAGAATTGCTTGAGCCTAAGAGTTAGAGGTTGATGTGAGCTATGTATGACACCAGGGCACTCTACCAGAGGCAGCAAAGTGAGACTCTGTCTCAAAAAAAAAAAAAGGAATCCACACAATTTCAACATGTATAAGGAGGGAGATAAATGACCCACTGTTACCCCTAAACTATCAACAAGGCCAGGCCTCTCCCACATGCATTCACAGGAAATTGTGACCCATGAAGTTGACCTTGGAGCCGGGGAGAGAACCAGGGACCCTTGGCCCACAGCCAGCTGCCTGCCCTCTCCACACTGGATACATCCTGGAGGTCAGAATTTCTGTCTCACAGTAATTAAAATCTATTCTATATTTTGCAGCCTGCCATACAGCCTGCTTGTATGGGTGAATGACAGGGAAACTGAGGCACGGGGAGTAGAAACTATGCGGATCAGAGCCTCATAATGAGCACCAATGCTAGAGTTCAAACCCAGGGCTCCCCAGCTCTTCTCTGGGACCCAGAAAATACTTCCTGATATACTTCAGGGATCCTAGAGGAGACGGGCCTGGTCTTTGCCCTTGAGGGTCATTGGGTATGAGGCAAGTCAGAACCATAGGTAGTATTCGTGGCAGTTGTAGTGGTAGTGGTAATGACAGTAGTAACATCTCTGAGTAGAGAGTGAGGTAAGTCAGGAACAGATATTTGAGCTGAGGCATTGAAGGTTGTGTAGAACTTCACCAGAGCCACTTACACCAAAATGTAGAATTAATCACAAGCAAATCTCTCTGCCTCACAGGTGTGCCAAAGCCAGTGCCAGCCTGCCCCGTCTGCAGTGTTGGCCTGATGGGGTGGTGACCAATCCTGTCCGGCTCCAGCACCATGTTGTCCAATAACAGCTCCTTGGGCCCTTGTTTCCGGCCCACAAACATCACACTGGAGGAACGGCGCCTGATCGCCTCCCCCTGGTTCGCTGCCTCCTTCTGCGTGGTGGGCCTGGCCTCCAACCTGCTGGCCCTGAGCGTACTAGCAGGCGCGCGGCAGGGTAGCTCGCAAACACGTTCCTCCTTCCTTACCTTCCTTTGTGGCCTCGTCCTTACTGACTTCCTGGGGTTACTGGTCACAGGCACCATTGTGGTGACCCAGCATGCTGCCCTCTTCGACTGGCATGCTGTGGACCCCAGTTGCCGTCTCTGCCACTTCATGGGCGTTGTCATGGTCTTTTTTGGCTTGTGCCCGCTGCTTCTTGGGGCCACCATGGCCTCTGAGCGCTACTTGGGCATCACCCGGCCCTTCTCCCGCCCGGCAGTCACCTCCCAGCGTCGTGCTTGGGCCACCGTGGGGCTGGTATGGGGTGCCGCACTGGCACTTGGCCTGCTGCCCCTGCTGGGCGTGGGCCGCTACTCCATCCAGTACCCGGGATCCTGGTGCTTCCTCACGCTAGGCACTGAGCCAGGGGATGTGGCCTTTGGCCTGCTCTTCTCAATGCTCGGCAGCCTCTCGGTGGGGCTCTCCTTCCTACTCAACACGGTCAGTGTGGCCACACTGTGCCATGTCTACCATGGGCAGGAGGCTGCCCAGCAGCGTCCCCGAGATTGCGAGGTTGAGATGATGGCTCAGCTCCTAGGCATCATGGTGGTGGCCAGTGTCTGCTGGATGCCACTTCTGGTGAGTAGAAGTCTGGGCAGTGTTCAGGGCTGGGGCAGAGGCAGCATCTGGGGACTGGGAGGCCCAGGGAGAGGCTTTAAGATTCTTCTACCTAGGATGTCAGAAAAAGCTTTCCAGAGGAAGGCATAGGACCTGGGGCTTTGAAGGATGAACAGGAGTTTACCTGCATTGCAAAAGGAGAAAAGCACTGTAGAATAGATAGCATCATTTAATTATTAAATGTTTCCTGAGTTTCCTTTCTGCCTAGTTTTGGGCTGGGGTTCAGCCAGTCCTGCATGGATTTTCCCTTGGTCAGGGCAGCCCCACAAGAGTTCCCACATAAGGTGGGTGGTACCTGTTGCTCAGTGGGTAGGGCACCGGCTACATACACTGGGGCTGGCGGGTTCAAACCCGGGCTGGAACAGCTAAAACAACAATGACAACTGCAACAAAAAAATAGTTGGGTGTTGTGGCGGGCACCTGTAATCCCAACTACTTGGGAGGCTGAAGCAAAAGAATCACTTCAGCCCAAGAGTTTGAGGTTGCTGTGAACTGTGACACCACAGCACTCTACTGAGGACAATATAGTGATACTCTATCTCAAAAAAAAAAAAAAGAGTTCTCATGTAAAGAAAAGAGATCTTCCTTCCTTCCTTCTTTTCTTTTTTTTTAATTTTAATTTTATTTTATTTTGTTTTTATTTTGTATTTATTTGGCTGGGCTGGGTTTGAACCTACCACCTCTGGCATATGAGGCTGGCACCCTACCCTTTTGAGCCACAGGCGTCACCCCCTTTCTTTCTTTTTTGAGACAGAGTCTTAAGCTGTTGCCCTGGGTAGAGTGTCGTGGCATCAAAGCTCACAGAAATCTCCAACTCAGGCTCAAGTGATCCTCTTGCCTCAGTTTTTCTATTTTTAGTAGAGATGGGTGTCTCACTTTTGCTCAGGCTGATTTCAAACTTCTAAGCGCAAGCAATCCACCCACCTTAGCCTCGCAGAGTGCTAGGATGAGCCACTATGCGCCCAGCCCAGAGAAGATTTCTGAAATCCATTCATTGAAGTGGTGTCATTGGCCATTCGGGATTTTTTTTTTTTTTTTTTAGAGACAGAGTCTCACTTTGTCACCCTTGGTAGAGTG